CTAACACTTTCCAGAGTACAGATGACAAAAACTTCTAATGCGATTGTGTTCTAAACTAGAAAGTGTCATAAACATAACATGATAGAGTACTTTGTTGCTTTGTAATGATGAAGAGCTCTTTGGTTAGTAACTGGTTTTCTCATTTGGAACATAGGACAATAATGTAAAGTTCACAAGAAGCACTGTAAGGTCTGACTGACTGAAACTGATATATTTATCACAGTGTCAAACACTTAAAATAAGTGATAACTACAATTACTGAAATAGAAATCTAAGAATAAATGTGAAAGAGATCAGAATTTACCATTCAAAAGTCTACCTTCCCAAGATACTGTATCAACATTATTCTAAAAGGTACAATGTGTGACCAAAATATACAGTAAATATTTTTTTAAACCCATTATAGTAAAAGATATATTGGCATTAATCCTCTCCAAATTATTCCCCCTCATATGTCCCATCATTCTTGCTATTTTCCCAAGAAGTTTTTGAAATCCTGTTTCATCAATGACCATGAAAGACAAATGTTTTGAATTAATTGAGGACATAGAGGCAGCCATGGCAGAACAAAACAGCACTTCCAGGACTGCTGTATGATAGGGTATGATAGGGTAAGTGTGTTCAAAATGAGAGGAAAAATTGTGAAGAGGATTAATACCAGTATGTCTTCTATTGTAACGAATTTTTAAAAATTTAACCATTTACTATTTTTTTAATCACACCTTGTACATATTAAGGAGAGAAAAGTGAATGTCATAGTTTTTCTTGTCTACTTTTCGATTACATATGAAAGCTATGACAGAAATTGAGAAAGGATTCTTTGTGTTTGAAATATCCATGGACTAAAAAAATTCTATTTCAGTTTGCTAAAGCTATAGAAGCTGTATAACAATCAGTATTAACACTGCAATAGTTTTAGAAACAAAACAGCAAAGTTTCTTGTGAAAATTTGGAATAGTGTGCCTTTCACATACCAAAACTTGAAAACTCTTAAAAAGTGCACAGTAATTACTGGACAAGAATTAAATTATGCTGTTAGATTTGCTTAAAATATGGTGAAAAATATCTAAAAACTCAAAATAGAAATGCATAATGTTTTTTCAATAAACCATAAACATAACCTGTTACATGAAATGTAAGCAGAACAAAGTAACTTTCATTAAAAAAATGAAGTTTGGAGGGTTTTTGTTTTTTTTTGGGAAAAAATTTAATGCACTGTGTTGGTCATCTTCAAAAAAAGAATTATGGTTAGCACAGTAAAATTCCAGCAATGGTAGCCACAACTATTTTCATAGTCTAAAATTAGCGAACTATATAAAGTATAGAAATGCCCAGAACACAGTAAATGAAAATTTTCTTTATATTTTTTCTATTTTAATAAAATACAGCAATATCCTTCTTAAACATTTTCCCCACCTACTTAGTCAATAAAAAAGTAAGTAAATCAAAATATAGATATTACCAATACACTGTGGATACAATTTTAAAAACTTCTTCACAATAAGTTATGGGGATCAACCTTGTTTTTCATACTAATGCAATGCCTGACAGACAGCAGATGCTCCATAGATGTTTAATGAATAAACTAAGCATAATCTGTTATTCATATACATTCCAAATACAGACATGTTTGCAAAGGTACATAAGTTGGACATAGGCTTTCTGGCTGACTTCATGGGGTCCCACTGTTGACTAGAAGTAAATCTTCATATCCACAAGAAAACTGGCATGTTGGTAATTGTCTGAGTAAGGACCAAAAAAACAAAGTCAGGGAAACATGTCACCTAAGTAAGAGCTGCTTTACAGTGTTGGTAAAAGTAGGCTAATTATCCCAACAACCTATTGTACAATTCACTCAATGAAATCAATTTAAATGCCTTCTTAATATTTATAAATACTTGATGTGAAATCTTAAAAATCATTGCCTATTCAAAATAAATCACTTCTGTCAAATTCCATCCTATATAAGGATTAGAAAGGGGAAGGTTTTTATGTCTTAAGAGTACTATATTGTTAACAGCAATTAATTTGGCTAATTAGAAAAAGGAAAGCCACAACAGATAAAAGAAAAAAAATTTTGAAAAAACTTCATGACTTAAAATTATAGGAAGAAAGAAGGTAAAATGGAGAAGAGGAAAGGAATTTCACATTTGGGAGTAAATAAATTCAAGTATGTCTGACTGTAAAATTAAAAGTGAAATATGATAAACAACCAATGGGGCCTATGGTGCACCAGGTATTGGGCTGAAAGAGGAACACAAGTTTCAAAAAAATCAAAACCTTTATTCTTAAGTACTTCACTAAGGCAACACTCATAAGTAATTATTTTTAATATAGCATGAATTCTATTGCTTTTTTGATAATATGGGGGATGTTATCAGAGGAATAAGCATTAAAGATGTAGAAATAACTGTCAAAATAGTAACCCACAATGAGTAAAACGAACACTTCTTTAAAAGATCAATAACAAATGATTGAATCATGAACAGATAAAATTATAGTTCTAACATTATTTACCTTTATAATCTTTAAGAAAATGTGCCTCCATATATAAAACCCTTAAGTGTTATACACAGAATTATGTGTAACAGTTTTTTTTCTTTTCTGACAAAGGACAATGAGGTAGTATTGAGACCTGAGTTCTGTAATTTCTCTGCTGCCTACTCACAGACCCTAGAACTTTTGACAAGTTCCTTCATGTCTCTGAACGGTAGAAATATGGAAAATGAAGAAGAGAATAAAATGATGGCCAAGATACCATCTAGTTGAAACATTACCATCTTAAAATATCAGTGGTTCTCACTATTTAAAAACTAAATCATAATACAAAAAAAATAAAAGGGTTTGTAAGCATAAATTATTATCCAACTTAGAGAAAGTCTGGAATCATCTAACCATAAAAGGGTTACCCTAGGGTTGGTAGGATAAGAAACATTTTCAAAGAAAAACAACAGAAAGTAAAGATATTAAACTCATGACTAAATTTGACTCACCTGCCTACTGGGCGACTACTACTGATTACCTACACAATTCACTTACTAACATGGATTTCTTCACTAAGTTCTACTTTGTATCTCCTACATTAAGGTTGCTAAGGTTTTAAATTGAGGACAAATCATCTTCGGTGAATCTGCAATAGTAGTATTAATGTTGGGATAGAAACCTGAACTTGGTACAGGTATCCGCTTAAGTGCACCAATTACACTTCAGAGAAAGGTAAGAAACTATTCAATTTTATAACAAGAATGAGAGAAATAAGACCATATTGTTTGCTGCTACACAGCTTCCCCCCCCCCGTGTAAATGTCTACTTTTGTACAGAGTTGGTAATTAAAATTTTACAGAATAAGTTCCTGCCTATGCAAAGCTTCTCAGTCATTTAAATATGTGCATTATGATTTGGCTTTATCATTAAGAATATAAAAAATTAAACATCATCATGTATTTATGATATGTTGAATATCCTTCTAGATTTAAATTTTTTCTATTCTTTCTAGTTGATCAAATTGCTGTTTTTATATTGCCAGTCTGATTACAAGATTGTTATTTTACAGACAAATATTTTTTGCTGGCATACATTATAGGATCAGAGATACCAATGCATTTACAAGAAAAAAAAATATGTGCATGTGTGTTATTATGTGTGTGAGAGAGGGACAATATGTGTGCATACATCTCTAAGCAAAGGATAAAAAAAGTATAGAAAATACCACTTCCCAGTGTAAGCCCTAGAAGGCCCGCATCAGAAACAGACTTACTAGCATTTGTGAAATAAAATACAGCACTGAATGAAAGCTGTTCACTAAGAACATACCATGTTACAATTGAGAATAGTGATTTTTATCCAAATTGTTCTTCCATAAGCTTAAATCTGGATTTACCCTCCAATTTATACGTAACTACATATAATATATTACTAATTATAAGTTCATCACTTCTTTGACTCAAGAAAACATATTTTAAAAATTTGTCTCCTTTCCTATATAGTAAGCAATTTGATTCAGTACCCCAGGAGATGTAAAACTCATCTCAATTTACAACACTAAATAAATAATTCAGTTAAAACTGAAAGTGGTACCAATCCACCAAACTACTGATGGAGAGGTTAGGCCTTCCATGTAGCCAGAACAACATAAAGTTTTCAATGAGGATTACCTGCTCAGACAAGTTACAAAGATTAGGAAAATACATAGTTAATTATAAGAGAAGTAATATTTCCATCTTATGGAAAATAAATACTAGGAACATCTGTGGGAAAAACCTAACACCAGTGTCACTTAAACTTTAAGCATCTTATGCTTTGGACTTTATATACTCATATATGAAAAAAATATTTAGCATAAATAAGCAATAATCTAAGTCAAATCCTCACCAAAGGCCTCTATCAACTAAAAATTTGAAATTTTCTATGCAAGCCAGACAAAAAGAAAAATGGAGAAATTAGATCGGTAATGCAAAAAAACAATCAAGTCTTCCAACACTCAAGTCAATATCCAAATCACATACAGAACCAAAACGGGGAAAACACTCAGGTTCACAAATAGGTGAGCAATTCCAATACAATTCAGATCCCGACATTTTCCCACTCAGAAACAAATGCAATAAAGCTTTTCCTGGGGAAAAAGAAAAAAGCTCTCCAAATAAATTTTTTTAAGTGACATCTACAAAGTATGCCTCTTTCTATCTCTTTCCCTGACGCCTCATTGGAGGAAGGAGGGGGTTGTTTTTGTATTCTCCCCCACTGGATCTAGGCACAATCAGATGTTAGCTGGAGAAGAGAAACCACTTTTGACAACAGCAAATAAAAATAAAAGTGTCCTTCTTTCCCTGACAGGATGGGCACCCCAACTCACACATCCCTCCCCACTCCAGCCCCTCCTTCACTCCCCCCCCAGCGCCACCCCCTCCTCACCCCGGAGCTCCACTGCGTATGTGGTTTGGTGCCACTGTTGCCCCGGAGTGAAAGTCAGAGCCAGAAGAAGCCCCCACAGACACACTTACCTTTCCTGCCCCCCACTTTTGAGTGCCTTCCCTGGAGCTGTGGAGGATGACACAAAGGGTAATAAAGGGGGGGAGTGGAGGAGGAGGAGGAGAAGGAGGAGGAGAGCTGGGGAAGTGGCTGCTCCTGGGTGTAGTGAGATGTCTCCAGCCAGGGCCAAGCAGCAGTAGCAGCAGCAGCAGCAGCAGCAGCAGCA